TGAAGAATGCACCTGCAACAAACTGATTATACAGGGTGTCACACAACGTTTTTCCCATCAGGTGATAACTTCGGAACGCGGATCTGGATAACTTTTTGTATCGTTTCTACCATTGTCATTCAATTGACCTTTTCAATTTAATAGTTATTTATGATATAAGTGCTAAAAGTGACATTTTATTTTGTGAAAAGGGAAGTTTGGGACACGACGCCGAAGGCGGAGTGTTCCATCCCTTTGAACAAAATAAAATCACTGTTAGCACGAATATCATACACTATTTTTTCTACAAACACTGTTTAAAAGTCCAAATTAACGCATCCTTGAAATCCTCAATTTCAAATCTTTCATCTAATTTATTTATGAAATAGGTTGCTGGCAAGAAAAAAAACGAATTTGTTTATTTTTATTTGTCATCTCTGTTTGTCATTGTTGATTAATAACGTCAAATAATCACGAATTTTTGCTTACGGTTTCTGCACAATTTTTGGTTCTTGCGTGGTTTCATCCAGTTTCATTGTAGTTTATTTTCTGGGCGATGGAAAGTGATCAAGACAATGAATTTCTCCCGGCGGAAATTGAAGAAGCTGCCAATAAAGCTACTTTCGAATTATTGCCTAGCAAGTCAAAGCAACAGTACGAGTTTTCATACAAAAGAACATTGCGGATCAAATTCTACCCAAAAGTTCGGAGAATAACATTGCTCTTTACTCTCCTGGTACAAGTTTTACCAAAATAAATTCAGTATTTGCTACCAATGAGATTGGCCATGGAGTTTCTTATTCTAATTGCAGTTTCGCTAATTTTAATTTAATTAAATAAATATTTTACTTTGATATAAAATTTCCTATGTTTTTATATTTTCTGATCAGTGCTAGGAGTGATTACTTTTAGCACTAGTGCTAAAAGTAATCACTTTTAACACCAGTGTCATAAAATGGCATTTTAGACACTGACAGCATCCGTTAAAAATGACACTTTTAGTGACGTTTGTAGAAAAAAGCTTTTCTCTTTGGCGTCAAACTGTCAGACGCCAAAAGAGTATGAAAACAACGGTTGACAGCCGCTGACAGTGGTTTGTTGACAAGATTTTTGTACATGTGGAAACTGGAAACTATTATTTCCTCGGTTCTTTCAAAGTTTTTTCCTAACAATGGTGATTGTGTAGTGTGCCTTTTTGTAAAAATAACTCCTATTTACCGGCGAACGTGTCTTTCCATAAGTTTCCATCAAATCCTACATTTGTCAAATTTTGGATACATAAAATCAGAAAAAATACTCGCAAAAAAAAGGGAATCCACGGCCCATCAAGTATACAAAGTAATCCACGTTCAAGTTTAGTTTGCGGGAGCTGTTTGCTTCCAAAATAATTCACCGCTTTCTCCATAGCGAATTTCTGCAAATGAAGTAGTAACTTTTCACACAATTTCTTTCAAAACACCCAATACACACTGGCATTGACAAGCAAGCAAATGTTGGCGGGAAAATGATTGTTTATACTTTATTGTCCATCTCTTTTAATTGAAAATGTCAATTTCACCAATTTCGCATCAATTTCGATCAAGTGACGTCAACTTTCGAATCTTAAATGTAACTCATGGTATATTATGGCATTTTTGGTTAGAAAATTAAATTACAAAGTCGGTAATGCCATATTTATTAAGGCTTTGTTAAAGAAAAAAAATATACAGTGGAACATACGATGATGCGTTCCGAAATTATCATTTGGGAAAAACCTCTTGGGACACCTTGTATATGTATTAGCTTGGACTAATATTTCTTGGATTAACATTTTTTCTTTAAAAATATGGAAATATTGTTTGCTTTTGTTATTTGCTTTGCTATCTTTGTTTTTTTTTTTTTTTTTTTGTTAATTTTCTTATGTTCAGAATGAATCAGAATTATTTCGTATTTCCTTACATAGTCTTTTATTTTCGCTCTTCTGACCTATTAAGAGTTATCTGTGCTTTAGGTATTCCAGTATATTTTTTCGAGATCAAGAAATCTCGAAAAAATTTCTCGATCTCGAAAAATCTCGGAACTGTTTTTCTCGATCTCGTTTCGAAAAAAAAAATTCAGTCGTCTCGATCTCGTCTCGAAATCGAGACGAGACGAGAAATCTCGAATTTCGAAAATCTCGTGAAACCTTAGTTGTGAGTGCAAATTACAAATCGATTCTAAAAATTGACAGTTCAATGGATAAAGAAAGACAAATTAATGTGAAAAAAGTAAATATTTTGAATAGAAAATTCAAAAGTTTACGTTACAGTTAAAATCCTTCGGATACATAAATGATAATAAATATAACTAATAAATTAATAAAAAAAAACTGATTAGTAGACATTCTACAGGGTGTTCCAACAAGGACTGAACAGGGGCCTGTTTCTGACTAAAAAATCAAAAATTATTTGCCCCAAAAACCGAAGAGTCACGGCATGGATGAACTGTTTTTGGAAAATTCGCATTTTTTCACGTCTATTCTGTTGAAGATAATTGATAATCCGATATCTATTTTTATTTTATTTTAATGTTTCATTTTTAATAGATTTATCAAAGGTGATAGTAGTACGGGATACGAGGCCTATTTCATCAAATCATTTTACACCGTCTTGCATTGTTATCATCAGTTAGATAAAATGGTACTGAAACGCACTTGTGCAGGGAAATAGATGGGAGTGGGGGATTTCGCTGAAAAAAATGTTTCAGAAAATGTCGTCATAAATTAGGAAAATATATAATTATACACCGTCTTGCATTTCTTTATTGAGTCAGTTTGTACACAAACAAAATTGAATTACCACATGCAAGACGTTTTTATGGGGGTTTTAGGGTTGCAATAGAAGATGGAAATTGTCAATTTGTGAGAGGGGTGGAAAATCATTTTACACCACTCCATTGTTGATTTAGATTAAAGCTTGAATGTAGAATAGCTACTGGATACTGATACAAGACGTCCTGTGGAGGGATAACGGGCTGCAAGACGGATGTCAATGCGTTGTCTCATGAGGGAGTGAAAATTTATTTTACACTACTTCATGCTTATGTCCGCCGGAAGAATATATGTTAAAAAATGGTAATACATCAGTCCAAGACGTTTTTTCGGGGAAAAAAGTTAATAAATCCGTTTTCTTTTTTTACTGAACTTTTGAGTTATTTACTGAACCGTTCACTGTTCATTCTCTTCTAAATCATACAGATGGAAAAGGACAGTTGACATAGCAGCTCAACAGGGGAGTCTGCTGAATACAGGAATTATAATTTCTGTTTACAATTCCAGGCAGATCATTTTTTTGCTGCTTTAAAATCAAATTTCTCAAATTTACCTAATACCTACTTACAATCCGTTAGGTGTTATGACATATCCACCTCAAAAAAAAAATAAAATGATTATAAGCTGTCAGAAAAAGAACAATTTTCAACCTTTTTTTTTTGATGTCCGTAGAGTCATTCAAATATACATATTAAGAGAATTTTGCAAAATAGAATTATTCTACGTGGTAAAAGCAAAAATATCTAAAATTATTGTGCGTAATTTGTAATTTGGAGTAGTATTCACATTTGTACCTGATGGATTTACCCCCGTCAAAATTAGTCAACTTCATCACCGTCTTGCAGTCCTTTCTTTCCATTTAGAACGTCTTGTATTTTTTAAAATGTTATCAATGTGTTCTGTTTTTCCCATTAGTATCAGTGCAAGACGGTGTAAAATGATTTCTCACTCCTTCATAAGACAACACATTGACCTCCGTCTTGCAGTCCGTTATCCCTCCACAGGACGTCTTGCATCAGTATCCAGTGGCTATTCTACATTCAAGCTTTAATCTAAATCAATAATGAAGTGGTGTGAAATGATATTTCACCCCTCTGAAAAATTGACAATTTCTATCCAATATAACAACCCCAAAACCTCCATGAAAACGTCTTGCATGTGTTGATCCAATTTTGTTTGTGTACAAATTAACTCAATAAATAAATGCAAGACGGTGTATAATTATATATTTTCCCTGTTTATGACGACATTTTCTGGAAATTTTTTTTCAGCGAAATCCCCCACTCCCATCTATTTCCCCGTACAGGTGCGTTTCAGCATCATGTTATCTAACTGATGATAACAATGCAAGACGGTGTAAAATGATTTGATGAAATAGGCCTCGTATCCCGTACTATAGAGAGGTATCATCCCCTTTCATTCACTTCAAAGTAAAAAAAAGACATATTCTGTATTTTCTCGCCATGAAATACTCTTGAAAGAGAGATTATAGATTGTTTCTTTGTATTACATACAATAGCCAACAAAATTCAAGAGAAGCAAGAAGATTTATTACAAATTTTCAAAGAAATATTTATATCCGTAAATACAATTTTAAGGATAAAAAATCTATTTGAAGAAAATAAGTCCTTACCACTGGTTTTTAGTTCTAATGATTTTTTGACACCATTTTCGAATTCTCCAGAATAAAAATAAAATACAATTGGTTATTTTGAATTTTTTCAAAAATACAGGTAAGGTCAAAAATGAGCCTCTGTTCAGTCCTCGTTGGAACACCCTGTACACTGTCCACATTACATTATACCTCAATCATGTATGTATAGACTCATTTTATATTCATTAACATTACAAAGTATCTAAACTACTATTTACACAGTCTGGAACGATTAACAAATTTCTTGAACCACAAATGGGCTACTCATGTTGGAGTACCTATTTTCCTAGATCTATGACTAGCAGAGCAAATCATGACTTGTTTATTTACGAACTATTTATGGATTTATGCAAAATTGCTTCAAGACAACTACTTAGTTATCAACAACAACTCATTAGGAATTAATTGTAAATATTTCTTCCACGAAAACAACGACTTTTTGAATGGCGGGGGAGAGTAAAACTTTTGCGAGCCGGTGTGCCTACAGTTTAAAAGCACTTTTGCTTTTTAGACAGTCAAAACAGCTTATTTAAAATAAAGTAGTACCTAGCAATCAACGGTAGTAGCAACTGCGTAATAATAGTGATTGCGCTGCTTATCAGTTTATACTTGGTGACGTTCCGCCGTCAAGCGCTTGCTTGACTTTTAAATGTATTTATGATATTCGGTACGACCGAAGTCGCTCATTTCACAAACGATATCGACGCGGTGTGAACGCATTGAAGCCAAGTTCGGCGTTAAAAAGTGACCCTCATCAGAGACTGTTTGCTGGTTTTTTTTTTATTCGTTTATTTGGTTATTTTCTTTAAATTATGATTACATCAGTTTTTTCTTGGATTACTGGATACGTCACGGTGAGTTACTAATTTACTTGACCCATTGCTTTTGTTTTGCCATTTTATATCATGGATTACAAAACGTAGTTTCCATGAATGAAACAAATTAAACAGTGTTGAATGTTACAAGAAATAAAATAGGGTTAATTGAAGAACATTTGTAATTACAAATTACATTCAAATAATGGGCTAAGCTATATTTATTGGTAAATTAACGTTAATTTTTTGCGTTTTTATATTAAATTGTTTTAAGTTTATTTTTAATGATGAGTAAATGCATTTAAAATTTAAATGTATTTGCGAGACATATTATAAGATGATAATAATTAATCTAAGTAAGTTTGATACTCTACAATAATTTATAGCGTTTTGCTGGATATATTCTATCGTAGTGCGCCACACAAATATTGATGAAAAGTAAAATATCTTATTATATTGTAATGCTAGATCTAGGAAAACAAACCACTTTGGACCTTGATGGTTGACTATCAGCAATTTTCATTTTTTCATAAAGTGATTGTTCTCGGATTTATTCATTCTTGGAAATAAAACAAACTCAAAAACGAACAAACTGGAAATTTTGCAGAATCAAGGAGTAAACAAATCATTTCAACAACGCGACGGTTGCTTTCATTAGAATTTTTCAAAATTGTAGTGAAATCAGGTTTTAAGTGGTTATTAAAAGTCACCTCGCTCAGGTGCCAAGAGCACGTCTCACTTATTGTCAATTACTGAATCACTACAACTTAATAAATCAAAGAGCGCTGATTAGTTTTGGGTTCACTTTTCTCTGCTTTCAAACTTATTGTTGTTTTTGGATCAATTGTTGTTCACCTAAAGGATTTAAAGGAATATCCATGTATGTATGTATGTATACCGTAACCGTAAATTAAAAGTCGTGATAGTTGATTTTGATTTCAAGCTAAAAGTAATCAAAAATAAGTGCTTGTTTTCGAATTTACTGCATATTAATGGCAGTTATTTAAAAACCACTTCCAAGCATATGAAGTAGTTACATGAACAAAAATTGTAATAATATGTACGTAGGTAGGTATTTTTAATCAGAGTTATCATTATCAGTTTATTTGTGCGTAAACATACATTACTTAAGTATTCTAAATCCATCTCAACAAAAATGTTATCAATTATGTCCAGGTTACATGATTATAATATTATTTATTTAGTCTCTTTATGGGGTATATGCAAACAGACTTTATAAGGCCCACCTGGCAGTTTTTGGTCGATTTTGCTCAAATTTTCAGGGGTGAAAGGTTTTTCTGAAGGCCTTTCAATGGCTATAAATTTTTGGATATTTCAGCCCGCAAAATGATTTTATTCACAATCCTTTGATTTTGGTAAAATATTGCTTTTAGCTTAGTTATTTCGTTCCGGAATAAACATCGCAATTATAGCGACTGTGAGAGCGCACTTTGAACCTAATTATGTAAAATGTACAGGGTGATTCATTTGATGAATTTGTATACTAACAATAAGACAAACGATGTTTTCCGATATTTTTCCAATAAGTGTCAGGTAAAATGTACATATCTGATAAGCAATATTACAACAAAATATTCAAAACAACCAATTTTGTAATTGACAACAGCTAAATTTAACGGCTTCCTGGAAATTGGTTATTAATTGAGTAGATAATTATCTACAGTAATTACTTTTAATAAGGTTGAGGGACGATAATTATTGAACTTGAACCAAAATAAAAATAATGTTCAGGTTCTAAAGATTATATTTATTCAGATTAAATTAGTCCTTCAGAAAGATAGCTTAGATTTATTTTAAAGCTCCATTCACAATTTAAGAGCGTTTTGGACCGTTTTCATAATATGTACTGGGACCGCTGCTATGTATGTACAGGGTGCTGCAATTTGGAGTGTTTTAACAAGAAAAACATACTTCCAGACCAAATAGAGGGAAATTGACTTAGGTGTCATGGGATTAATTTTCGAGAAACGTCGATTGCCAAAAACCGTATCACGATATCTTCAATGGTACCACTGATACAGGGCGATTTTCGATTTTCCCCTATTATGAAAAATAGCTATGTTTTTTATTTATCAATTTTTTTTATTTCTGTAAAAACATTATGGAGACACTTTTTTGAGCACAATCCAGTGGCGGACTTAGTTTTTTCCTATATCGCTCCAATTTCGAGATATCGACCAAAGTCCGATATTTTCAAATGAAATACCCTATATATTAATAGATCATTGGATAGCTTTGTTTTTGCTGATTTCAATGATATAAAGTTCGATAGGTTTATCTCTAACAGTTTTCGAGAAAAAAAATTATATCTGTTTTTGTCATAAGAAACAATGCGTTAGAAAGAGACCTTCCTCATTTTCGTTACACATATAAAATCCTTTTCTAACACATTGATCCTTACGACAAAAACAGATATATTTTTTTTTTCTCAAAAACTGTTAGAGATAAACCTATCGAACTTTATATCATTGAAATCATCGAAAACAAAGCTATCCAATGAGCTTTTAATATATAGGGTATTTCATTTGAAAATATCGGACTTTGGTCGATATCTCGAAATCGGAGCAATATAGAAAAAAACTGAGTCCGCCACTGGATTGTGCTAAAAAAAGTGTCTCCATAATGTTTTTACAGAAATAAAAAAAATTGATAAATGAAAAACTTATAGCTATTTTTCATAATAGATAAAAATCGAAAATCGCCCTGTATCGATGGTACCATTGAAGATATCGTGATACGGTTTTTGGCAATCGACGTTTCTCGAAAATTAATCCCATGACACCTAAGTCAATTTTCCTCTATCTGATCTGGAAGTATGGTTTTCTTGTTAAAACACTCCAAATTTCAGCACCCTGTACACTGTGTTTTTTTTTATCTTTGATATCATTTTGATCAACTGTATCTACATTGTTTATGTACAGGTGATCAAATCAATGATAAAAAAACACCTGGTACCTATTTTTCCTGAGATTTTACATTTTTATTCAACTATTGCAACTGTTTTTTTTTTTGTGTTTTTTTTTTCAATATTCTTCTCTACTTCAAAGTTGAAATTACACTTTGTCTCTTGTATTAATTTTTTAGGATTATCCTATGTAGGCCTGGTTTATTCATCTTCAGATAAACTTGCTGGTAACTATGTGCAAGATAAATTTACCGTTCTATAATTCTGTTGGTCGGTCGACGGATAACTGGCCGACCAATCGGATTACAGATTGCGTTTTTTTTCGGCAGATTGCATACCTGACAGTTTATCAGAAGATGAAAAAACCGGCTTATGAAATTCTAATACAAACATTCCTATTGATTCTTTGTAATTTCCTGCGAAATAAAAACGGAAAACTATCTCAATGGTCAATATCTTGTGAATAGATGTTGTTTGATGGCTAACCTAATTTGAAAGCAAACCTATATACCTCAATAATTTGTCGCGTCTCTGACTACTCATTTTGCAAATATTCTTGTTTTCATAGTTTCTGTCCACTGTAGAGTAGATTTTGGTCGTCAAATTTTTCTGGTTTCTTTAAGTACATATACCTATAACTTTATTAATTTCACTTATTTTTATTATTCGATATCAATCATTAGACATTGATTTGTTCTCAAGATTGTGTCTGATGAGTTTTTAATGGACTCCGTCAATTTAGGGATTATTTGATTGGGCAATCAGCAATCATTCGTTCTAGGAAGAGAATTCTTATTTTAAGCTTTTTTGGAAAGTGTACCTACTGCATTTTAATTTTATCACGTCACGAGCGGCCTTGGCGACTCAAACTATTAAACTACCTACCTACGAAATGAACATTTGTATTGTATTACATTATTCCAAAAGCCACTAGCTGGAGACGTCTAGACTCATCAGCTGAAAATAGGATTGATTACAATCACAAATTAGATTACTACAGCCACAATAGAGTTCAATATCAACCTGGGGAAGAAATAAACCAATGGAACAAACATAATTTTTCCATCGCTGAAACTTCAAAAGAAAGCATTCGAAAATATCAGTCGGAGCTCAACAAAAAACCATCTAATCAGGAAAACTTGAGGACACAAAACATTGACAACTCATAAAGACAGAATAATGTCTATTTTAGTTTCAAATCGGCCATAAGACAGATGTGTTATAAATGGAAAAATATAACCAATACATTACGAAAAGAAGTCCCAGAGCTGTCAACTGCTGTCCACATTGAAAAGTCGATACGAACACAACCAGTCAAGTGATGCGAATCTGCATTAAAATGTGAAGTGTTCAAAATGTAGGATTACCAGAGAAACAAGATTAATTTATTACCTATATGGCAGCCGTTTTGCTAATGCTAATCCAAAGCAGGAAAAAACTTTTGAGTTAGTCCGACGTTAAAAAACTTACCAAAAAATTTGGTTGAGGAATTATTGTTGAAAGATTTACAAAATAATGATAATAATAGGCATTAGTAGTGGAGAAATACGATAATTTGCGCGTATTTTCATTTTTCAATATTCTATTTCACTTTTTCAGTTGGTTATTTGATTAAGTATGGTCAAATTAGCAGATTTAGGGAGTAAAGTGGAACAAATTAAAGACAAATGTTTAATGGTGGAACTTTGAAGAGACGGGCTCCCTAAATAATATACTAAAAGTCCCATCCAATCTGACAATGGCAAGTTTTAAAAAATCATCACCATTGTGAATTTTTCAAGTTTTTGGATTTACATATTTCCAAAACATCCAGGTTTTTCGAAAACTTTCAAAGGTAAATTTTTCATGTATTTTTTTGATTTTTTTTGAAATTGAAATATTCTCTCTACTTTGTATTCAATTTACTTCTCACGAATGGAAATCGCTATGGTGCAATCTATAATTTATAAAAAACGAGCGAGTCTGCTATAGTTGAATCAAATCCAAGCGGCAATTACAAAAACAAATACCAGCTGGTAATCCAGCCTTCCTATTGGTTGAAACGGTAGGACCAGTGAGCATGCACGGAGGACATTTGATAGGTTGTAATGAAAATGACCAGTTGTTTACTTAC